CATGACCAGAAAATATTTGAAAATTTCAGCAAGACACACATTCATTTTACCATGAAAACTTTTTTTTTTTGACTAGTTTAGACTCAAATAAGCAATACATGTGGCTGTCTCATTCAATTAAATAAATAATTCTGGCATGCCTAATAGGGGCAGAGGACAGAGCCAGATGGTCACCACACACCAAAACTAATGAACAATCATGTTTCTGCCTTCGAGGAGTGGAGACAGGAACATGAACAGTTGATGCATAACTGGCACAAGGCAGATAGGGCCATGAGGAGCTTCAGGGGGCCTTAGAGATGTGGAGAGAGAGGAAGAGGCCATATACTAATGGAGAGAGCCAAAAAGGCAAATTACGCTTTCTTTTTGTGCCTCAGTTTCCTCATCCGTAAAATGAGCATAATCATAGTACTCATCTCATAGGGATGTTGTGAGGATTAGATGAGATAATGCATGTAAAGAACTTATAACAGTGTGTGGACATAAAAAGCACTTACTGAATGTTAGCTAGTATCACTACTATTCTGAAAGAGCTTGGGGTTGAGGTAAACTCTGAAAAATGGGTAGTATTTTATCAGATGAAGATGGGCATGAGAAAGACAGTACTCAAGGATAGAATACAAGAACCCAAGATGGGTTTTACTTCCTCTAGAGAAGAGGGCAGCATGGAATATAGATCTAGTTCTGAATTCAACTCTATCACTTATATAAGTTACATGAACTTGGGCAAGTGACTTAGACTACCTGAGCCTAAGTTTCTTATTCTCTAAGATTCCCAAATACCCATTTGCTTGGTTGCTCTAAGGCTTTTAAAATAAGATTTTGAATGTAAAACACCTACCATGATACATGGCATTGAGTTAATACTCAGTAATTGGTAGTGATTATTAAAACAGAGAAAATCCTCTTTTTAAAATAAAGTCCTTGAAATGTCATGCACGTAATATAATGAAAAGGAAGTTCAGGAAATTTTATAAACTACTGCCTACTCCCTTATTTTAGTGAAAAATTACTTAATTCCGCATAAAAATATAGAGAAATGCTGAGTTACTATTTCAAAGAATATCAGACATATCAGTTTCCAAACTTTGGAGACATTGGAGACTATAGAGTAACTTCTGGGCAGGGAAGAAAGAGAACTGGACTGGGGACAGCCGAGGGATTTCAGTCCTGCTTGAATCTGTAACTTGCTAGGTGATTCAGAAAACTTGACCTTTCTGATTCTTGGTCCCTCATATTCAAATAAGGGGAAGGAGCTCTGAAATAACTTTCCCTTTAAAATCAGAGCTCTTCTAGACTTGTTTATTCTATTTTTAATTTCTTTCTTTTTTTTTTTTTGCAGTTTTGGCTGGAGCCAGGTTTGAACCTGCCACCTCCAGTATATGGGGCCAACATCCTACTCCTTGAGCCACAGGCACCACCCTCTTCTGGACTTGTTTAATTGGAATAGAGTTTCTTCTTGTAATGATGAAAAGTTCTGGAAATGGATAGTGGTGATAGTTGGACAACAATGTGAATGCACTTAATGACACTGAACTGAGCACTTAAAAATGGTGAAAATGGTAAATTTTATGTTATCTCCAGATTAGGTGTTTTATTCTAAGCTCCCTAGATCTATGCAACATGCCTTTTCTGCCATAATTTAAAATCCATTTTAAAAACATATTGCTGAGAATGCAGTTCTAGGAAACTAAATGTTCCATTTGACGATGGCTATGATAGCACCTGGTGAGTTTGTGTTTCCCATCTGGTTGGTCATTACCTTTCCCCTGTCTTTATTTTGCTCTTTTCCCTTCCCCAAAATTACTCCAATGAGGAAACATAAAAAAATCACTGTCCAGGAGAACTGGTGACCTGAGTTACAATGTTCATTGTGGGCTTTTCAGGGCATGTAGAAAAGCATTCCAAGGTGGCAATCCTCTCATGGCAAGTTCATGAGGTCCAGGCCTTTGACATGCGTTCTCTCATTTGATCCATACCACACTGTATCAATTAACAATCTCTATTCTGGAGATGAGGAAATTAAGGCCCTAGTAATTCGCCCAAAGTCACAAAGCTACTAAACAGCAGAGGCAGGATCCAAACCCAGTTAAACACAGTTGGCATGCCACGGCTGCTACAATTCCCCCATTTTATAGGGTGAGTAGTGAAGTTCTGGTGGATTTACGAGATGGGAAGAGGGGATGACAGATGCAGCAATAGAAGCTAACTTTAAAGTTCTGAGCACATTTATGGCCAGGATGAATTTCTGTATCTTCAAGGTTTGCTAATTTCCATTGGCAAGTACTCTACCCAAATCTGTGTGTACACACACACACACACACACACACACACACACATTTATTTACTTTTTACCCAACTCTGTATTAATGTCAACTGTGGGCATGCCTTCTTCTCCAGGCAAGATGGACCACAGCATTGTGTTCAATATGGGTTTAATAAAGATTCAAATATGAGTGAGTGAGGGCAGAGGACACATTACTGACCAAAGGTCTTGTATGACCATTTGGAGCAAATCAGTATCAGTAAATCCAGCTCATGAATTAACACAGATGACAAAAGAATCTAAAATGTTTCTAATTCCATTGCATTGTGGCTACACTTCATGTATCACCACGATTTTTTTTTTTTTTGACCTGAGACAAAAGGTAGTTGTTTAGGATGTCTTCATAAACATTAAAATGTCCAAAAATAGACATGATGACTTTTTATAAGAACATATTTATCATTACGAATTCAAGGATGTTAGTAATTTGGAGAGATGTACAAACAGATTTTTGGCACGATTTAAAAAACCTCCTCAAAGCTATCCATTTAAATGAAAATCAGCACCAATACAATCTCTCAAATCCATTAAAAAGAAATAAAGCCATGTCTAAACATGAGCAGGAACGTATTTGAAATTGAGAATTTAATTTTTGAATTTTAAAAAGTTGATTGCCTATAAGTGATTAATTACTGCAATAGTTTAAACTTGAACTATAGGAAATACTACAAACTTAAAACCTTGCCTATTTGTTGCTACTCCAAATGACACAAACCTATATATACTATGACTGTAACTCTGTGTGTCTGTGAATGTTAATGGCTTATCTCCTGCTGGAAGCTGAAGAGTGGACTTGCTATGGTAAATTTTTTTTTTTCAGTTTTTTTTTTGGGGGGGGCGGGGCTGGGTTTGAACCCACAACCTCTGGCATATGGGGCCAGCACCATAGTCCTTTGAGCCACAGGCGCCGCCCAATTGCTATGGTAAATTTCTCAGGCAATAGGATTATAGAGTTGGAGAGGACTTTGAAATTATCTAATCTATCAGTTCATTTTATAGATGAAGAACAGAGGACCAGAGATGTAAAGGAGCTTGCCCACGGCCACAAGGTTATCCTGGAGCAAAGCAGTCATTCCAATTCATGACATACTGGGGTAGACTGATTTTGTATCATACTCTGGTCCTACTAGTAACCTTGGACTAGAGACTGAGTCTTAGTGTCCTCAGCCATTGATGGAGATTGATAATTTCTGTCTTGTTGCATTGTTCTGAGGATAAAATGAGAAAACATATGCTAAGCTTTTGGTAAATGTCAGTTTGCTCACTCTCCTTCTCCTAAATCTACGGCCCCTCCCCCATTCTATACCTCTTCAATGTAGTATTTCAGATGTGCAGAAACTTCTCACTAGAGGATAGGAAGTATTAGCTCAAATATCTGGCTGGAGAAATTCAGGAATTTAACTGAACACTAATTATTTCCTTGCTTCCTAATGTGCACAGTAACTATGCCATTGAGGCTAAGCAATAGTTAGGAAGCACCAAAGAAACCCCTGCATTGGTGGAGCATGCTGGAGGGTTCCTACGAATATACGTAAGTGGAGATGCTTTGTCACTTGCCCTTTCTCTTGCTTCCCCAGTCCATGGCTTTGCCTTGGCAATGAAACAGAGCTCAGGAGGGGGCCTTTGGAGGAATACTGAGGTTTCCAGTTACAAAAAAATAAAATCCTCATCTTTGTAGAAGAGAATAGACCCTGATGAGAATTCACTGGGTAGACCAGCAATTCAGAAGTGCTATAGCAGCCCTCCCCAGGCTTGTCAGGCCTTTTCTCAGGTCCCATCTCCTCCCCACTTCTACGTCAAACCATTGTGTATCTAAACTGCTGATGGGCAGTAAATCAACACATAGATGCTTCCTATGTAAAGTATACAATTAGTTTCTCTGGTAATAGGTAGTTGACTTTGGTGCATCTCAATTGTAAACGGAGAAAGGTTAACTTTACCAGCAAATTCGCAGTATTCGATTATACAAAAAAAAATTCTCCCCCAAATTACACAGTTAATTAGGTATTAAAATGTTGGTTGTTGAATGTGGAAAATTTAAATCCCTGTTAAAATGTAGAAATATTTATTTCAAATCATTTTTTATACTGCCTATTCTAGAATGCTGTCCTCTTGGTTCCATGAATTTCTTATAGGCTCTTATCTAGTTCCACTCAGAACTCATTCCATTCACTAAAAGTTGCACAAATTTAAATAAAAACTGGATGTTGTTCATTATGAATTATGCAGTGTAGTAAATCATGCCAAATTCCCCTAAGGGAAAAATACCATGGAGTAACAGGGTATAGAATTGAGAAAACAGGAGCCTAGTCTAGCTTCTGTCCCTAGCTAGCTTTGTGACTGTGGGCTGGCCCAGCATTTCTCTGCCTTGGTGTTTTCCATACAAAATTAAGGAAAAAGAATGGCACATATTGTAAATTTACCTACTTGATGGTACCACCCAAAATTGCAATTAGGCTTCAACTACAGAGAAACTGGGCAGAGATAGCTCAACTAAGTCTGGAAGTTAAACTGGGATATTTATTTCGTAAAGTCCAACTAGTGGTCTAATCAGTAAAGCTGTTAAACTTGCAATAATATTTCACTGATGTGTACCAGAGTGTTGCAAGTTATACAATTTCCAATTTAATTTTACTGCATCCCTGAAGCCGTAGTAATTAGAAGACAAACTCACAGGGAAGATGTTTACAGCTTCAGGGGTGATAATTCTGAACCTGTTCTGCAGGTCACTTCTATCCTCAACGTTCCCCGATTTGACAGCTGCGTGCAGACTTAGGATTTTACCATAATACAGCATTAACTCCTCATTCATATAATGGGAGCAGATGTAGATGACGTTCACATTGGCATCTAAAACAACAGGCACAGTGTTAATTACTGGTATAAAGGTAAATGACATTATGAACTCTGGCATCCAATTCACGTGCAGTTTAAAATAAAGAGCAGATCCAAAAACCACACAAAGTTAATTTGGATTGGTTGTGCATAATCTTAATTTTAGCAATCTAACCAGCCTTTTTAGTCTTTAGCATTTCTCTAAAGAAAAGACAAATAACACCATCCCCAACAAAATAAAAACAATGATTCCTTCAGGAGGACCGTGAGGTACCACTGAAACGGACTTTCAAATAACACATAGGGATTTAGCCACACAACTCCCATTAACATCAATGGGAATTGCATACTACTTCAAAAATTTATCCCATTAACTTCAGTAAATTATAAAAAGAGCTATTAACTTTAGATAGCTGATGAAATTGCAATTTATTTTCTGCCTTATCTTGACTAGGCCAATTCAGGGAATGTCCTGTCCAAACCAATGGTCTGATTAAGACCACAGCAATGATTATTTCAGGAAACCAAACTTTCCACTGCTCCATTCCCAAAGAATATATTACTTAAATAGTACATCTACTGATTCTTGGTCTAAAGGAAATACTTTCTTACCTAATCTCCTTCTTAAGATGTGCTTCTTATAGGTACATAGAAAGAAATCCTAATTAAATATCTGATCCAAGTGGAATAGTGAGATGAGATTAACCACTCCACGCTGCACAATATTTTAGGAAGTAGGGATGGGAAATCAGCAGCCAGTGAAGTCATTCATTCAAAAAAAAATAGTTGACCGATCTGTAGGGGCAAAGCAGTTTGCTACAGACAGAGAGAAATACAGCACTGATGGTGGGCACAGTGAAGCATGTGGGCCAGGTATTTAAGGAAGCTCAGGGGAGGAGTACTAGAAATGTTTTCTTGGGCAGGGATGGCCAAGAGGGGATTTTAAGACTCCTCTGCAAATTCACAATTGCCAAGATGTGGAAACAACCCAAGTGCCCATTAACCCATGAATGAATTAATAATCTGTGGTAGATGTATACCATGGAATACTATTCAGCTGTAAAGAGATGGATCTTGACATCTTTTGTATTAAGCTAGATAGAGCTGGAGAACATTCTCTTTGGTAAACTATCACAAGAATGGAAAAGCAAGCATCCAATGTACTCAATACTAATATGAAGCCAGTGGATGAACTACTTCATACCCACGAAAGAGAAAAAATTTAATTCAAGTTGGGGAGAGAGAGGAGAGAGCTGAAGGAAGGAGAGGGGGAGATTGGTGTGCTCTTACCTAATGGGCACAATGTAAGGGTATACGGAAGACCTCCTGGGTGCAGGACACAACTACAACAGGGACCTTACCTAACGAACAACAAAGAGTGTAACCTGATTGTTTCATATTAATCTGAAATTTAAAAAAAAGACTCCTCTGTGCAGTTTGGCAGAGTATACAGAACATAGATTGATTAAATTCTAGTTCAGCTGCCTTAGGGCCTTGGGCACATTATGTAACTTTTCTAAGCTTTGATTTCTTCATCTATAAAATGGGGAATAAAGCCATTTGAGGCGTGACTTTTAGTATTAAATGGAAAGAGTACTATATATATAAAACAGTACCCGGTGCAGTGTCCTGTACATAGTAAGTGCTCAAGGAACTGCACAGATGCATCTGACCAGTTAGTCAACAATGATTCCCTACCCTGCCCGCCACCGTGTGCTTCTTTTGATTAATGCCTTGAGATTTAACACTACAGTGTCCTCTGTTGTTCCATCCTATTGTCTCAAATTTCTTAATCTTGTTTTGTCAAGCCCCTTGAAGGCAATTTTTATACCCTTTCCTATATTCCCCTAAGCTCTGGTACTGTGTGGAGTACATAGAAGCCACTCAGTAGACACCTGTGGGCTGACCAAAAGGATTTGGGAAACAGATTCAGAAAGTGGAAAGTTTTATACACTTAGAACCACAGCATGCAGGAGAAATCTCCTCCCCAGATCTAGGGGTGATGTTGTCTAAAGTAGCTCAGTGCTAAGGTCTTACTAGCACTCCATACATGTAAATATTTAAGTGGCTTCCATTTGATTTTGAAACCAAACAGCCACTGAGGGGACAGTGCTTAAATAACTTGCATTCAGTTGCTGAATGAACGATTTAGTTATCCCAAGTTTTATTTGGTGGAAGAGACTACTGCTAACCAAACTATCGTAGTGGTTTTAAAACTAAGCAAGTTTTTTTTTTTTAAAGTATAAAAGAATGGGGGCCCCAAAACAAACAACAAAAATAACTTAATACTCTAGTGAAAGAAGAATACATTTTTTCTTGGGAAGAAATTTCTAGGTTACAAATAATAACAAATCATGTTGCTGATTTCACCTTTCCTATTCATTTCTGACAAAGGAATATATCTCACTAACTCTAATCCAGTATTAGTGTAGTTTTAACATGAATTTGCAAATATTCAAAATTAATTGACAGGTAACTTTAGAAAGGAATTGATATGAAAATAAAAGTTGTTTAAATCAGCCAGTCTCTTGCTGAACTCATCCAGGAATTAAAAACACTATCTATTGGGGTTTCCCCTTGACAACTGTGGCTTCACAGTCAGTATCTGAGGACAAGTCTTACCACTTGATTGGATTATCATTGTTTCTCCTGAATAAGTAGAAAAAACAAAAACCTTTTGGTATCATTTAATGCAATAAAAGGATGATTATTTATTCTTCCATAAAATTATTACTAATATTTCCAGTTTTTCAAATTTTTATTTCATAAGAAAGTACTTTTTTCTTTTCTTTCATCTAACTATTATTTCTAAACTTAAAGCATTCCTCTTGAAGAGGTTTTGTGATTGCTCTGCTATATCATGAAGATAGCGTACCAAGAAAAAGCATTTGGTTCATAATTTCTTAGAAACATTCATATTAGCAAAATTTTCCATGGCATATGGACACAGACTGAATTATTGAATTGTTTAAAATAGAAGCCTAATACTTTCAGGTCTTTCCAATAATGAGAACCTTTTGTAACGAAATTCTTTGGTGATGCTTTGTACTATATATAGAAGGGGATATAAAAAGCTAAAGAAAAAATTAATCCAAATAAATTAGAGCAAAGTGTGCCCTCTGCTGCACTTCAGCAGTTTCTATCCTTAGGTTTTTAGTTGAAATAGTTTAGTACTAATAAATCAATCTCCAGACATTAAGATTTTTTTTTTTTTGGTATTGCTGAAAAACAATATTGGTGCCTTGATAACAGATTAAAGCAATTATACGATTATGATTTTCAGACACGGTAAATTTCTAGTACTGATGTATTTTTGTTATCAAATGGCATTTATAAAATAATAATGATTCTGAAATATATATGAATCATGTAAAGTATGTCATTCCAGGGAGCCAGCTAAGTTGGTCATTGATAATTTAAAATCTTTCCTTGCTCTGCTTAAATAAGGGCCAAAGCAATTACAGTTTAACAAAACAAAGAAGTTATCATTTGATAACTAGTAAGGTACTCATTTTTGTTTAATCCTGAATTTTTGTCTAGTACCTTGCTGATTCAATGTTGTTGCTAAGCCTTTGCAACCTTTATTCTTTAAACCTAATCTGAATCCTGGCCTTGAGCAGTGTTAACCTAAGCCATCACATTCAGGCATCTCTCTTTCCTGGCCTCAGATTGGTGTCTGATTAACAACTGACCAAACCAGTATCAGGTATTGACTTTTACAAAGATATATCTATCACTCAGTCAAGGTAGGTATTCCTAAAAATTCACTCCATTAGGTACTTCACGTTGTCTAATAAGATGTTCTGCATGTAAATAAAGTCTTTAACCTTCATTCTCTTTTTACAATGAAAATACAATGCTCCACTTCCCAGATAATATTATGGACAATATTGACAGAAATATAAAATTTTGACTTTGCTCGCTGTAAGATTCAGTAAATGAAGATTTTGGCTTACAGGAGAGAAACTCTTGATCTAAACCTGCAGCAAGAATTTAGAAAACTGCCTAAGTATACTGGTTAAAATGTTACTTTTTATTCAAGTTGACTTCACTGTAAATCTGGTGTTTTTTTTTTTTTTTTTTTTTTTGAGACAGAGCCTCAAGCTATGCCCCTGGGTAGAGTGCTGTGGCATCACAGCTCACAACAACCTCTAACTCCTGGGCTCAAGCGAGTCTTCTGCCTCAGCCTCCCAAGTAGTTGGGACCACAGGCACCCGCCACAATGCCCGGCTATTTTTGGTTGCAGCCGTCATTGTTGTTTGGCGGGCCCTGGCTGGATTCAAACCCTCCACAGGCGCTGAGCCTTTTTTTCTTTTTTTGTAAATTTGGTTTTTTAAGACAAAATATTTATCTCCTTGTAGAGGAAAAAAAAATAAGCAAAAAAGTAAACATTTTTATCAATATCCATTGATAAACATTCCAAAGAGTCATTTGTGCAAAACTATCTACTGTACCTAAGATGTCACACAGTCTCCCCAGCTGCATGTTCTGTAGTGTGTCGAAATCAGCAATATGTTCTCGCACAGGCTGGGAATACCCTAAAAAGCAAAGAAGGTGTCAGATTCCAGAAAGAGCGAGTCAATGTGGCCAAAAGGCATGTGAGAATTTCAAAATGTCACAGTCTACATTTCCAGTAAGAAGTTTTCTCTGAAGCAGAAACAATCCAGCTCCTTAGAATGAGGTTCTGACTTCTCGGGAGAATTCAGCATTATTCTGGAAGATATGCTAAGGGGCAGGTTCTGCAACAGAGAGGTCCTGTATTTCTCAATACCCACAAAGGAGGTGAGAATCAAAGTTACAAAAACATGGAGAATTTTTCTGACATTTGACATGAATGCTTCAAATGACAAGTAAGAAAATTATGCTCAGCTTAAAAAAATTGTTTTGACTTTTTAACGTGGGCTTTCTATACGGCATTTCGAAGACGTGTTCCAGAATCATTCTAAAGATTTCGGGTAAAGCCCCTGGCTGTCAGGAGCACATATTTAAGTAATTCTAATACTGAAGAAAATAGTCTTCTGCTCACAGACAAAAAGAACTTTTAATCTCAAAGGCCAAGAAAGGTTAATGCAGTCACTCTGTCACTACTAATAAAAGCCCTGCAGTTTGCCTTCCCGCCCACTGGGAATAGCACGGAAGGAAAATGTATGTGGATTAGTGTGGTCTAAACCCGTCCCACAAAAGAAACAACGGCAGCAACACTTTCTGCTGGTGTTTCAGGTCTTTCAAAAAACTGGATCAAAACATAAACTTGAAAGGCATGCACCCTCACAAGCAGGTATAATTGCTTACACGAAATTCAGCAACTGGAGGTGCGACTTTTTTTTTTTTTTATAAAATTGTTTTTCACATTTTGAAGAGATGCTTCAATGCCTCCTTGTGGTTAGTGAGCCCAAACACATGTTTCAAGTTAAACTGCTATAGATAAAGTGATTTTTTAATACTACATCTTCAAGATGTGACACAGATTTCCTTTCAGCACCAGGAAAACTATAGCAATTCAGGCAACAGGGCTTCAGACCAAATGAATTCTGATAATTAGCTCTTTGCTTTGATGTCAGTGTTTAAACACTAGACAATGTCTGGAAATTAAATGAGTTTCCAATTCATCTAAAAGTCTCTCTTTTGCTTTATGCATATGAATTTAAGAATTAAAGAGGCAGAAGGACAAATGGGCTCTTGGAGTCATTTCTGCAAAACTATTAATCTCTCAAATAATTTAGAGAACCATGCCACATAACGAAGCTAATATAGACAGTTGCAATTCCAGGGCTGTCTTTATGTACACTTGCTACATACAACCTTTGGATTTTGCATATATAATCCTATCTATATTCAGACAAATGTTAAGAAAGATGTATCGTGAATAACTTATATAGCAAGACTATTAAAAGGCAGGGATAATGACTAAAGAATAAAGTATGATTAAGAAAAGTGCCTGAGAGCATTCCGTGAATGCATTTCCTTTCTAAAGTGAAGATAAAAGGCAGTATAAGATGTCTCATTAAGATGATGTCCAATTTAAAATATAAAAGATGTCTGATCACTTTGTCACCTCATAGGCGGCACGTGAGTCAGCAAGTCTGTGTTTCATTCAAACGCTTGAAGTGAGTTTTCCAACAAATGACTTGGTTGGTACCTCTGTTACCACTGACCAAGGATCCATATAAAATGTCTACATAGAATTATGATAGAACTGTATACTCAGTTAACCCTACAAATATATCCATTATAAAGAGGTGTATATGAATCTCAAAACATCACTATAGGGGATCATAGTAACAGATACTAACAGATCAAGTAACAGATACTAAAACATTTTGTGAACTGTAAAGTGCTGTATCAACATAAGGTATTTTAACGTTACAAGTTATGTGCACTTCCAAGGCACAAAACAATAACAGCAATGACAAATTCTGTGACAAGCAACAGACCATTCAACATGGACAAATAAAATGTAATGTACATTACCATCAGGTACATGTATTGTGAGGTGTGACGCAGGTGAAAAGACCTCCTCAGTGCCGGCAGCATACAGTAAAATAAGTGACTTAAGTAGGAAACTATCAATAAGGATGTTGTGGCTTTGGTTGGGGGTTCAGCGAACATGCCCTGTGTTAATGAGACATCACACTTTGGAATATAATCTACAAAGACATGGTTTTTTCTAAATGTCAGACGAGGTACACTGGGGGAGTTCTGAGAGACTGTCAACCCCAATTCTGTCGTTTATATACAGAAAAAAGGAAACTCAAGGTAAATGCCTTGTCACTTGTCCAAGATCATAGAAACCAACAATTATTATATAGTTGAGAGACTACATATTTAACTCTTATAAGAAATTTAATTACATGAAATAAAAGAGAAGATAAGACTTCCCAAATGGGAGCAGAAAATACCTCCAGAAGAGACAAAGAGCTTTGGGCTCTTTTCTCACTTTTGTTTTTAAATGTTGTTGTAGCCAGAATAATGGCCCTTCAAAGATGTTTATGCCCTGATTCCCAGAAAATGAGAATATGCTGGACTATATGGCCAAGGGGAAATAAAGTTGCAAATGGAATGAAAGTTGCTAATCAGCTGACCTTAAAACAAGGAGACTGTCCTGAATTACATGGCCAGGCCCAATACTGTCATAAAGCACCCACAAAGAGGAAAAGGGAGGCAGAGAGTAGAGTGGCTAGGACTCTCCTGAGCTGCTGGGTGAAAATGCCATGAGGTGTGCCCACCCACATCCCACCCATTCTTTCCTAAGAGGTTTCTTGGTCTCCCTTCCCTGTCATTCTTTTGCACCCTTTCTTTACTCTCCTTTTCTCACTTTGTTATTACGCCTTTCTTGGCTTGCTTGCTTACCTTTGTTATCTGCTCTCCTCTCCCCTGCACCACTCCAGCTCCTGCAAGCAGACTGTGAGCTATGTTAGAGCAGGCACTTGGGAAATCCCCAGTCGAAGGGAATGAAATCCCCATACAAGTGAATGAAATATATGTGAAGCCCCCTACTCAGAGAAGACAGAGAATCTGTCTTTTAAATTCTGTGCCCTTTCTCTAGTTTTCTCATTATTCCCTTCCCTCCTTCCAACTCTTCTAAAATTGGATTCTCTGATCTGGAGAATTTCTGGAGAATTCAACTTATCAGCATAGACTAAAACGGCACTGGCAGAAAGGGGCACTCTCTCTTCATCACTCTAGGAAAGAACACAGCCTCTTTCCTCATGGCCACCCCCACCATTCACAAGATATTCCTCGTTTGATGAAATGTTTCTTCTTTCCTCAGATGAGTATTTGCCAAATACTATTGCCCCATTTCACACCAAAGAAAGTGAGCTGAGAGCTGCCCCTCCCAAGTTATTCAGCTACTACTTTTGGTCCTCTCTTGAAGTAAGGCTGATCATCAAAGAGCTACTGGAAATCATTTCTCCGTCTTCACTTCTCCTCCACTGCCTCTCCACATCCCTACTCTCACATAAACACCTATCAGATGATGCTAATTGCTCTTCGCATACAGAAAACTAGCTCTGTCAGGACTGGCTTTTCTTTCACAGCAGTTCAGAAATCCAAGAACAAGTATGGCCATGCTCAGTGACAAAGCCCCCTTGGAAGTGCTGGTGCCACAGTGACAGGCCCTTGATATTGCAGCAGAACACATGTTTTGGGATCCCCAGCTTAATACCCCATGGTTGACTGCTAGTTTCTTTTGTCTCCCAAGGCAGGTGAGAGGTTAACAACAGATTCCTGGTGACCAAGTGTTATTCGCTGGATCCCCCTGGCCTGAGCTGGTAGTCACCCATGCCTCCATTTGATGGTTTGGAGTGGTAGCTCTCAGTCATTTCTTCATTTTGTAACAAGTGACCGGTGATGTTCAATGCATCACATCTTCACAGTGGTATACGCAGGGTTACAGTAGGCATGGCAGTGACTCTATCCCTCTCTCCTCTATTGGATTAGAAAACATACTGGGGTGGCGCCTATAGCTCAGTCACCAAGGGTGCTGGCCACATGCACCAAGGGTGGTGGGTTTGAACCTTGCCAGGTCTGCTGAGCAATGACAACTGCAACCAAAAAATAGCCAGGCATTGTGGCGGGCGCCTGTAGTCCCAGCTACTTGGGAGGCTGAGGCAAGAGAATCGCTTAAGCCCAAGAGTTGGAGGTTGCTGTGAGTTGTGATGCCACAGCACTCTACCCAGGGCAACAGCTTAAGACTTTGTCTCAAAAAAAAAAAAAAAAATACTGGTTGCAAGCTGAGCAACAGTGACATTAATACAGAATAATCTGGAATTGCTCTAATTCATAAAAAACCTTTGCTATTCTAATGCTAAAAGAAGAGGACATGTGACATACCTCAAAAATAAATGCCCAACAGCATTTTACTTCCTTTTTTTCTTTATTTTTAAGACAGGGTCTCACTCTGTTGCCCAGGCTGGAGGGCCGTGGCACAGTCATGGCTCACTGTAGCTTCAAGCTCCTGGACTCAAGTGATCCTTCTGCCTCAGCCTCCTGAGTAGCTGGGATCCTAGTCAATCACCACAGTCCCTGGCTAAATTTTCTGTTTTTTTAGAGGCAGGGTCTTGCTCTTGCTTAGGCTGATTGTGAACACCTGGCTTCTAACCATCCTTCTGCCTTGGCTTTCCAAAGTGTTAGGATTACTGGTGTGAGCTACTGTGCCCAATATCTTATAATAATCTGGAGAACTGTGATCTAGACATTATGGTTATACTCAGGTTTTAATTACAGTGTGAAAGTACAAGATACTAGAGAGCAAGAGAGAGGGATACCAAGAGAAAGCAAGAGAGAGTCCAATATGGTTATTTATATAGTACACCCAGTGCCAGTTAGATTAAAATAAATCTCTTTTGGGGGGGCTGTTGAAGGGGATCAGGGAATTTCATTACAAGAATGTAGAAAACATAGTAGGTATATTTGGTGAGTTGTAAAAACACCCTCAAACTCAAACAGGCCGAATGGATTCACCTTCAAAATGGTAAGGACTTTTTCTTTTTCAATTTTTTGTCAGTGGCTGGTATAACATTGCATTCAACTGAAG